GAGAGGATAAAAACAGGGAATTCATGTTATAATGGGCTACCTTATTACAACTTTTTCAGAAAGTAACAAAGAAAGACGAGAGAGAGAGAGAGAGAGAGAGAGAGAGATTGAACTGTAAATAGAGAGGCTGAGAAGCTGTGTAGGGAAGTGACACATGATTGAATGGTGGCAAATTGTACTTGGAACATAAATAGTGGTGTGCACTGTGGACCAAGTGCCATACTCTCTCTGGTCAACTGTCATGTAACAGAGGTGTTGGATCCGGGATGTGTCATATTTTAGTTACTTAATCCACACTTGAACCTATGTGGCTGCTGACACGGTGCTTCGCTAATAATTGAGGTTTTAAAACTCTAAAACCTCAATTATTTCACTTAGTCCTTCTTCGTTGTCTTCACTTTCACTTTCACTTTCGGGCTATGAAATTAATTTCTTGCAACAGTTCCCATAATCAAAGTCAGAGATAGATCTAGGAATTCATATGAGAGGGGAGGGGAGAGGAAGGTTTTTTATTTTTATTATATATATATATATATATATATATATATATAATTTCAGCAGGACAATTTTAAAATTTTATGGGTATAAATGTAAAAAAGTATAAATTTAAGAGTATAAAATATAATAATATAAAATTTTAGCACGCATTGTGGGCTTTTCGCCCTCTTTCTTGAATTCCTTTGTTTGCCTGAGGGATATCTATTAAAGGAAAGATTTGTTATCTCGTGAGGAGATTTGAAACTCATTTTACGTGTGGTCTCAACCAGTAATAATTTATATAAACCAATTATCCAATTATTTTCTCGATTTTCTGGGATATCTTTCAAATGTGCACCCAAACCCCTCAATGGTACGGAGTCAAATGCTAGAAAATTCGTTTCTAATAGATATTGCGATTAAAATTCACAAATCTGTGCCTGATCACAGTTGTCGTTTTTATGATGTAGTTGTATACGTAAGAGAAGTAATATATATATATATATATATATATATATATATATATATATATAACCCTAGATTTAAACACAAATCCAATCACCATAAATCCTAAGATCTCACCGATGTATCCGAGATCGCCATTGTTAAAGGCCTTTTCGGATGACTGGTTCTCCGATCCACCTGTTCCTTGGAGACGCATTCTTTACAAAACAAAAATTATATATTGAAAATGAAAAAAAAAAAATTGGCCACCTCATTCTAATTTCATGATATATTATTTGTGATGTTTAGCATTTATCATTAAAAAAAATGAAATAGCTTTATCCTTCATTTGCTTTTGATTAAGAGAATAATGAAAAAAAATATGAAAGGATAAAAATCTCTAATTCTGTTTGAAAAAGATAAAGAGGAGTAGGGATGGCAATCAAGTGGGGAAGGGATCTCATTCCCCATCCCCGTTGAATTTTTCAATCCCCATCCCCGTCCCCATCCCCTCTAAAATTTCACCACCACCCCCATACCCGCCCCCGGCCCCGCCCCGTCCCCGATTAACATATATATTTTTAAAATATAAATATAATTTTTCTTATTTTCATATATATATTAAATCTAATTTAGTAATAAATTATTATATGTAAGGGTAAATTAGTAATTTCACACTTAATCGGGGCGGAACGGGTTTACCCATTCCCCGTCCTCGCCCTGGCCGGATTTTCAAAATTTATCCCCATCTCCATCCCCGTTTACATAAAACGGTTCCCATCCCCGCTATAAACGGGGCGGGGCGGGGTAGGGACCCGGCGGGGATGGGGAATTTGCCATCCCTGAGTAGAAAAAAAAAACTATATATTTTTTTCTTCTTTACAATTTTAAAGTTATTTTCTGTATTCTTAAATTTTTTTTAGAAGTGACAATCTTTTCTCTCAAAATTTTCTCATTTTTTAAAAGATAGTAAAAATACAATTTGAAGGGTTAAAGTAACCAACCACTCCAAAATTTTCTTTTCCCTTTCTTTTCCGTCTTCAATTACAAACTAAATTTGAAAATAATCATTCCTGAATTTTTTTTCCTCCTTCCAAGTCCATCTAAAGAGATAACTAGACATTTCTCAACTAACATATCAACTTGGAAAAAGTAACATATGAACTTAATGCATTCAATGGCTGATCATTTAATATTTATATTACCTTGGAACAAACATTGTAAATCTCAATGTTTGATTGGGATGTGAAATGATGATTAATGGATGAGAACACCAATGTAACATAAATTTATATATAGCATGTCATGCATGCCATTCCTAGGTATTAAAAACATAATACATGGAATCTCACCCACATAAACACATTGCTGACTTCAGTCAATAGATCTGCCACTCATCATATTGCTGACCCATACAAGAGAGTAAAAATACAATTTGAAGGGTTAAAGTAACCAATCACTCCAAAATTTTCTTTTCCCTTTCTTTTCCGTCTCCAATTATAAACTAAATTTGAAAATAATCATTCCTGAATTTTTTTTCCTCCTTCCAAGTCCATCTAAAGAGATAACAAGACATTTCTCAACTAACATATGAACTTGGAAAAAGTAACATATGAACTTAATGCATTCAATGGCTGATCATTTAATATTTATATTACCTTGGAACAACATTGTAAATCTCAATGTTTGATTGGGATGTGAAATGACGATTAATGGATGAGAACACCAATGTAACATAAATTTATATATAGCATGTCATGCATGCCATTCCTAGGTATTAAAAACATAATACATGGAATCTCACCCACATAAACACATTGTCACTAGATCTGCCACTCATCCCTTGTATCCAACTCCGCCCCCCCCCCCCCCCCCCCCCCCCCCCCAGCGATCAAGAAAACAAACAAGTTGTATTCATTAATGTGAGTTATGTTGGGAATATAAAACATACGATTCATCAAAATTATTTTGTCAAAAGCATTAATAATAAGTGTTTACAACAATGAACTTTTATACAGAAAAATTCACAATTCGATCAATTCTCAACACACAACTTCAAACAAGAAAGAAATATAAACTGAGCTTATGATTTAGACTCCACAACTAAACAAATTAACCCATAGTAAATCAGACACTGACAAAAAAAAAAATTTCTTTCTTTCAAATGGTAAATCAAACACATTCTTTTGCCTACGACCGAGCTTGAACTCCTCCCCTCCTCTTTGAGGAAAGAGAAATTATACCTCTGATTGATCAACATGATAGTGAAAAGAAAAGAAACAAAATTATCTTTTCTAGTAGCTAGTGTTGCAAGATTCCTAGGGGTTAATGGACTTTAAGAGATCCGTAACTCTTGTAATTTCAAATGAAACTCGATTAAATTTAACTCAAAACTTTTATTTTCATTCAAAGATACAATCTTTATACATTAAAATAATATAGTGACTTCAAAGATACATTCATTAATGTATTTTCATTTAAAAATTTAATCTTTACACATTAAAACACTTTTATAACTTAAAAAAGAACTGAATTAAATTTAATTCAAAACTATAATTTTTATTCGATGATATAGTCCTTATACATTAAATCATTGTTGGAGCACAGAATGGATACATATATCATTTACAGTTTTGCAACATATGGTAGGCTCATGTGGATATTTTATATCATAGACAAGTCTATGTATCTAAAAGGTAAACTAAACAAAGAAGAAATCTAACCAATCAGAATCATTCTTCATGCATTCACAGTAGGGTGTCCACTCTTTCATGGCACTGAAAAGTATTAATAATTGGGACATAATCACTGTGACTTGCAGCTTAATATTGTATTCATCACTTGGCCATTCCTTTTTGTCATCAAACCTAATGAATGAAACCACATGCAAAAAGAAAAATGTGGAGATGAAAATTACCACCCATCACCACTACGTGACAAGCCTACTCAACTGGTTGATGATTAATTTACCATAACCATCTGATATGTAGGCCTTGTTTTTTCACCACCATGCCATTTGTCACTTTCTTTCACTCTTTTGTCTAAAAGGCCAGGTGTAAATGCACCATGCTATTATTAGGCCAATCTTTCTATGTGGTCCTGATTCTCTGTATTAGAGCTTTCACGTGTTGTATGGCAGCCCAACTGGTATGATCACTCACACGTATAATCATGTTATATGCATACACATAGGTAATCGTAATCATTTATAACATAATGATCATGGCATATGTATGAATAATTATAACTATTTACAACTAAGTATCATTGTATTAAAATTCTCTCCTTTTTAAGCAAAAATATTGAATGTGCCCAGCGCACCGACCCATCTATGTGCGCGCATCTTATACCCATTCCTTTTTAGTAGACTTGCAGTAGTACTACCATGTAGCATGTCCCAACTTTAATTTTGTATTCATCCCTTGGCCATTCCCTTTTTGTCATCAAACCTAATGAAACCACATGCAATAAGAAGACTGGAGATGAAATTAGCACCCATCACCACTACATGACAAGCCTATTCAACGGGGTGATGATTAATTTACCATAACCACCTGATATGTAGGCCTTTTTTTCCACCACCATGCCTTTTGTAACTTTGTCTTTTTCTCTTTTGTCTAAAAGGCCAGGTGTAAGTGCACCATGCTTTTATTAAGCCAATATGGTCCTGATTCTCTGTATTACAGCTTGCACGTGTTATATGGCAGCGGACAGTTATAATTACTCACACGTATGATCATACCATACGCATGAGTAATTATAATTATTTACAAGAGAGTATTGTTGTATTATTGTATTCACATTCTCTCTTTTTTGGAAGAAGGTATTGGGTGTGTCAGACGCACCATGCACCGGACTCATCTAAGCAAGAGCACACTCAGTAGCTATTCCTTTTTAGCAGCCTTGTAGTAGCATAGCATGTCCCAACTTTACAGGACTGTCATTGTTCAATCATTAAAGTTCACAATCCCATTTCTCTCACTCACACACATACAAATGGTAGTTGAGCCCCATACATGAACTTAGAAGGGTAGATAATAGGGGGACCACAAAAGCACTCTCTAAGTAAGAAACAGAGCTCCACAGACGTCAGGCCATTCTCGAAAGGGACGCCAATGGCTCCTAAAACAGATGGGCTTTCTGAGAAGAAAGTCAAAACAATGGGTGGTCAAGTGACAAATGAATCCATCAAGAAGCAATTCAACAGAGGTTCATGGACTGCAGAAGAAGATAGAAAGCTGGCCGAGGTCATTGAAATCCACGGTGCAAAGAGGTGGAAAAAAATTGCAGCTAAAGCAGGTACTCATTGTTCATTGCTCAACACCTCAATTACACCATTAAACAAAACACACACACACACACACTCAGCTTAATTAGGCTATGTTTAGTGTTAAACTTGATGCATGGGTATGTAATATTTGCAGGTCTTGATCGGTGCGGTAAAAGTTGCAGGCTGAGATGGCTGAATTATCTAAGACCTAACATCAAGAGAGGCAATATCTCAGATCAAGAAGAAGACTTGATCCTTAGGCTTCATAAACTCCTAGGAAACAGGTATATATATATATATTTTTTTTTTGTGGTACAAAAATGTTATCGACAACCAATTTATACTCAGGTTTTCTTAGTTTAATTCATTTGATATTTCTATAGATGGTCTCTGATAGCTGGACGGCTACCAGGTCGAACAGATAACGAGATCAAGAACTACTGGAATTCTCATTTGAGCAAGAAAATGAGCCAAAATGAGAAACAAAGTACAAGTAGTTCAACAAGAGAAGGGTCCAAGACCAAGAAAAGGAGGGGTTTAAAGAAGATAAGTGTGGAGTTGAAAGAAGAGGACACCAGCTCTAAATGTGGTGAGGACTCAAGAATCAAGTTTGATGGGGATGAGTTCTTTGATTTCTCCAATGAGAGTCCTATGACTTTGGAGTGGCTCAATAAATTCCTTGAATTGGACAAGGGTTTGTGTAAATTTTCTTGAAATTGTAATCTTTGGTATCATTTTGTATGTGGTTCACTCATTACCATCAATCTCGACTTGGGACTGTTGTGTTTTAGCTCTTTTTTGTACTAAATCTGTAAATTATTACTGTTTCTATATCATGTAATAATATTTGATCATATATTTTAGTCTTCTTTTGTTTCTGATGATGATTGTGTGTGTGCGTATATATGTATATTTAAAGGTGGAAAGGACTTGATTTTACATTGCTGGAGACATAATTCAGAGCACAATAATAGGATGATGGGAAAAAGAGCAACATGGAGTTAACAACAAATATTATGTTCAGAAGATAATTCTGAGAAAATTGTTCAAAATTTTCTAAAAAGAGTAAAATAAAAAAAATAAAAAAAAAACTCATCCAAAGGCAAACAAAATTAGTGGAACATGTGCATTGCTCACTTCAGCATAGTAGACAAGTTGCAAGCCAATGTCTATATAATTAAAGCATCCATACAAGCCAAAAGTAGTTGACCTGTGGTTCTCACAATGAACTCCTCCACCTTATCATGTTTGAGATTCAACACTGAAAGAAAATAAAAATAATCTCACTCATTGATCCTCCGACTTGAGCCTAAGAGTTGATTTTTTGCCGTCCAAAAACTTGAACTACCAGATTTTTTATTTTGAAAGGTGAAATGGTACTATAGAGTTATAAAAAAATAATAATTTATTTTAGTTACGTGAAAAGGTACTACTTCATTACAAAAGTAATTCTTGTTATAAGTAGGTTTTTCTCATTAAGCTGATATTTGTTAGAAACGGGAGCATTAAAAATATAACTTTGGATGAGATTTTGAATAAATTCGTTAAGAATTTTTGCGGATCTATAAACGAGTGCGTTCCTCTCTATAAAGAGATAAACGTGGTATATTTGTTTTCTCAAATCCGTTTCCCGGTGAATGAGAAATTAGTTCCAAAGTAATGTGTTTGATAAGCCTAAATGAGTTTACAAAATGTGAAAAACATTTGTCCCAAATCAGAAAAATATTAAAACTAAAAGGCACCATGAGGCCTATATAAACCCCCCATTGGGTTCATTCCAAAGCACTCCAATTCAGAATCCTTTTCTCTAATTCTGAATTCTCTTTTTCCTTTCTCTTCTTCTATAAGTGTCTTCGAGCTCTTCTCTTTGGGTTTGAGCCTTAGTCAGTCACTCCGAGTTCGAGTCAGAGAGTTCTACACCGAGCCGAAGTAAAAATCGTTGTATCATGAGAAATAGACACCACTGAGTCCGTTAGCACCATAGTGGGACGAATCTGTCTTAAGAACATATATTCTTTTATCTTATAGTTTTATTTTATTATATTAAACTATATATGATAAGTAATTATATATTTATAGATTATTATTTTATAATAATAATTATATTTATATACATTATATTTTCAGATAATATTTAAATAAATAATATTATAGTATATGGTATAATTAGACCATATTTTTGGACTACAATCTTAAGACAGATTTGGCTTATACAATAGTTTAATTATTTAAATATTGTTATTATTTTATTTCTGTAAATTTGACTGTAATCTGTATAATGGCAAGTACAAGTACTACTACGCCTAATGTTCCCGTCAGTCATGGGGAAAAGCCCGAAAAATTTAATGGGGCGGAGTTTAAAAGGTGGCAACAAAAAATGATGTCCTACCTTATAACTCTATAAAGCGAAGTACTGAACCTTTAGCATTAATTCACAATAATATATGTGACTTTAAATCTGTGTCAACAAGAGGTGGAAAAAAAGATTTCATTACTTTTATTAATGATTGCACAAGATACTGTTATGTATACTTGTTAAGAAGGAAAGATGAAGCCTTGAAAATGTTTAAACATTACATGAATGAGGTTGAGAATCAACTTGGCAAAAAGATAAAGGTGTTTAGAAGAGATAGAGGTGGTGAATACGAAACACCATTCGCTGACATTTGCTCAGAACATGGTATTATTCACCAAACTATCGCTCCTTATTCACCTCAACAAAATGGTGTTGCTAAACGTAAAAACCATACCTTAAAAGAAATGATGAATGTTATGTTGATAAATTCCAGTTTAACCCAGAATTTGTGGGGGAAAGCTTTACTTCTGCTAATTATGTTCTCAACAAAATACCTTAAAAGAAAATAAATGTGACTCCTTATGAATTATGGAAAGGTTAAAAACATTCCTATAAATTCTTAAAAGTGTGGGGGTGTCTAGCTAAGATTGCGGTTCCTACTCCTAAGAAAGTTAAGATAGGACCAAAAACCTTTTATGGTATTTTTATAGGCTACGCACAAAATAGTAATGCATATCGTTTCCTTGTGCATAAATCAGACATTCTTGACATCCATGTCAATATAATTATTGAGTCAAGGAATGCTTGTTTTTTTGAAGATATATTTCTTTGTAAAAATCATCTTAAAAGAAATCATGATATTGCTAATAGTAATATATAAGAGAATATAGACCAAAAGTCTATAGATGATGAAAATAAGGAAGAACCTAGACGTAGCAAAAGAGCTAGAACATCTAAGTCATTTAGTCTTAATTTTCTGACATATATATTGGAGAATGAGCCACAAAGCTATAAGGAAGCTATGTCTTCTCCTGAGTCTCCTTTATGAAAAGAAGACATAAATAGTGAAATTGAATCCATCATACAAAATCATACTTGGGAGTTGGTGGATCTTCCTCCTGGTACTAAACCTTTAGGGTATAAGTGGATTTTCAAGAGGAAAATGAAGCTTGATGGTTCAATAGATAAATATAAAGCTAGGCTTGTTGCTAAGGGATACAGGCAAGAAGAAGGCTTGGATTATTTTGATATATATTCACCAATCACAAGAATAATATCCATTAGATTGTTATTAGCTATTTCGGCATTGAAAAATTTAGAAATACATCAAATGGATGTTAAGATTACATTCTTGAATGGTGAATTAGAGGAGGAAATCTATATGGAACAACTTGAAGATTTTGTTGTTCCAGGAAAAGAAAAGAAGGTGTGCAAACTTGTAAAATCCTTATATAGATTAAAACAAGCACGTAAACAATGACATGAAAAATTTGACAAAGTGATGTTGTCAAATGGTTTTAGAATTAATGAGTGTGATAAACGTGTTTATGTGAAAAACACTCAAAATGGATATGTCATTGTGTGCCTATATGTGGATGATATGTTAATAATGGATAGTAATGATGTTATAATCAAAACTACTAAAAAAATGTTGACCAAAAATTTCGATATGAAAGATTTAGGCATAGCTGATGTCATACTAGGAATCAAGATTTCTAGAATATCAGATGGTCTAATATTATCTCAATTTCATTATATTGAGAAAATATTAGAAAAGTTTAATAAAGAAGATAGTAGCCTTGTAAAGACTCATGTTTATGTAAATCTTCATATATCCAAAAATACTGGTCCTAGCATATCACAACTTGAGTATTCTCGCATTATAGGAAGCTTAATGTATTTGATGAATTGCATACGACCAGACATAGCATACTTAGTTAATAAATTGAGTAGATATACAAGTAATCCAGGAAAGAATCATTGGATTGCAATAATCAAGGTTCTAAGATATTTAAGATATACCATAAGTTATGGATTACATTATTCTAGATATTCAGCAGTACTTGAAGGATATAATGATGCTAATTAGATATCAGAGACGAATGATTCTAAATTCATCAGTGGCTATGTCTTTACTATTAAAGGAGGTGCCATATCTTGGAAATCTTCAAAACAGACTTGTATTGCCAAATCCACTATGGAATATGAATTTATTACTTTGGATAAAGCTGGTGAAGAAGCTGAGTGGCTTCGTAATTTCTTAGAAGATATTCCAAATTGGCCTAAACATGTGCCTGCTATATGTATACATTGTGATAGTCAATCAGCAATTGGAAGGGTACAAAGTAATATGTATAACGGTAAGTCTCGACATCTATGTCGACGACATAATACCATTAGACAATTGCTCTCAAGTGGTATAATCTCAATAGATTATATCAGGTCAAAAGATAATTTAGCGGACCAGTTTACAAAAAGTTTGACAAGAGAGCAAGTGTATAGTTCATCGAGGGGAATGAGATTAAAGCCGAAAGCTAACGAGTCATTTTAATAGAAACCTAACCTAATTGACTGGAGATCCACAGATCTAGGTTCAAAGGGACAACATAAATTTTAAATGGCTCACCAGAAGCACTAGGAAGATTTAATCTTCAACCCATTACTATGATGAGAGAGTGTTACCTACAGTGATGAGTAGGATAAACTATGTTTTTAATGACTCTTATACCTTGAAAATTCAAGTGGGGTATAGTAGGATACTCTTAATAAGAAGTCACCTATATGAGTGTGAGTGGGGCCGCTTCTAGGAGAACTTCTAAGGCTAAGTTTTTTAGAGCACTCATGAAAGACCAGGAATTGTTCAGGGCCATATGAACACAACCATGAGAACCGACTTTGTGCGGGAAAGAACTGTATGTTTGTTATTGTCTTAGTTTACATCAATGGCTGAACTGTTCAAGACATCATGTTTACTAGTTAGCCAGTAAATCCGATAGTAATACACTAGGAAAGGTTCAAGGCCAAAAGCGAACGATCCCGATGTAGTTACTTTCCAATAGTACTCTCTCTAGTGTCTGTATCTTCTTCATTTGCAATTTACGCAAATTTTCATTCATGTGGGGAATTGTTAGAAATGGGGGCATTAAAAATATTAACTTTGGATGAGATTTTGAATAGATTCCGCTAAGAATTTTTGCTGATCTATAAACGAGTGCGTTCCTTTTCGCAAGGAGATGAACATGGTATATTTACTTTCTCAAATCCGTTTTTAGGTGAATGAGAAATTAACTCAAAAGTAAGGTGTTTGATAAGCCTAAATGGATTTGCAAAATATGGGAAATATTTATCCCACATTAGAAAAATATTAAAACCAGAAGGCACCTTGAGGCCTATATAAACCCTCCTTGGCTTCATTCCAAAGCACTCCAATTCAGAATCCTTTTATCTAATTCTGAATTCTCTCCTTCCTCTCTTTTCTTCTATAAGTGTCTGTGAGTTCGAGCCCTTGTCTTTGGATTTGAGCCTTAGTCAGTCACTCCGAGTTCCAGCCAGAGAGTACTACACCGAACCGGTTCGCCTATTCTTTTG